AGTGGTTAGTTCAAAGGTAGCCCAAGCTCGGCAAGCATCGGCATTGTTGCATAACATTCGAAATATGAGGATTTTTATGGGGAAAACACCTATCGTTTCTGTAACCCTACGAAAATGAAAGGATTTCAATAAAAGTTAGCTTACCCTACATAAAATGTGTGTTACCTCCCTCCTGTGTGGTCCATGGGCCGATTTATGGTCGTTCAGTATGGGTTAGTACTGTAAACGGTTTTCTCTCTCTAGAGACCTTAGCTCAGTAGGCAGAACGCTTGACTGCAGAGCGGAAGGTCGCGGGTTCGATTCCTGGGACCGGGACCAACACTCAGGGTCTTAAAATAACTGGGCAATGAAGGTACTGCCTTTGTACTGCAAGCGGTTAGACCTTTGCGTGGCTCTGATGACCACGTATAAAGGCGGTCCCGTCTCCAGTAGGAGACGTAAAAATAGTGTCACCAATTAGCGCTTTCGCGCTAAATACATTGACACTTAAATAAAAAGTGCATTTTAGTGCACAGGAAGGACGTAACACACATTTTATGTAAGATATAAGCTGTTTTTTTTTTTATTGAAATCCTTTCATTTTTGTAGGTTACAGAAACGATAGCTTTTTCCTCATACAAATCCTTATATTTCGAATGTTACGGGACGAGGCTGAGTGTCTTTTCTTAATATCAGGCTAGGATTTAACAAGGCCAGGCACCGCTGGGTTTGTCTAGAACTCTGATCTGGTTTCAGAGAAATTTTACCAAGACTTATCATGATCATTTAAGAATTTGTTTAATCCACCATATTCACATCGCCTAATTAAGTAATACTACGTATTGTTTACCGCAAACATTTTATACCTAACTCTTGTTTTCAGTTTCCTTTGAAAACCTATAATACTCATGAAAAGCTACAAGTACTGGTCAATACGCGAAATACTGGAAGGTAAACACCGTGCATTATGGGTAATGTGGAATTATTAACTGACTTCAACATGGCGTAGAATGCAAATCGCCTGGCTATGACATTAAAGTCACTGCGACTTTATCAAGTTGACGGCCAAGTGTTATTCTACTACCGTTAGGATTTTTATTACCTTTAGGGCCAAAATTTATTACACTTCGAACCTTTATTACATTTAGGGTCATTTATTACATTTGAGGCCTCAACGAATGTGCTCCAGCATACTTAACATCGAAGTTCGTATGACATCGGCCGCCTTGCTCGACAAGGACAACCAGGGACTCTGAAATGTTAAGAATACCACTTTTCCGCACTACTAGTGGCCAAAGGTCCTTCGAATATAGAGCGACGTCCTTTTGGAGTAAGTTGCATCCAGCACTCAAGCTAAGCGAATCAGTGACTACAAGCGTCAACTTAGGCGACCACTTCTGGACGCCTTCTTTAGTTAGTACGTTAATCATTTTTCGTGTTTTTAGCTTCCTGTTTTTAAAATTATTACTGTAACATTGACTCTGAAAAGCCTGTGGGGCTGATGTAATAAAATATGTATATATGCACTATGTATTATGTATTTCCCCCGTAAGGTTAAGCCATGCTCGAAATGCGAACGATGTTACTGTTGCGTAACCTTAGAAATACCAAGGATATGCACTAGTATAGATTTTTCTCTTGAAACCCGTCTTGCCTTTTTCCCAGTGAGCACTTTACTTGCGTAACGTTGAAAGGAATTTATGAATAGGAGACTAAATGATAAAATCAGATCGACTCCTGGAAAAAAAAAAAGGTTTCTAACCTACTGTCTCGTACTTGTCTAATTTTGTGTAATTCCCAGCCGATCGATTTTTGGGCGTATAACAGGCTAATTAGGAGATATCAACTCGTTTGCTCTCTCTCTCACTCCCGGCCCTATGTAGGTTTTAGAAACCTATTTTCTCCTCACACCAAGACTTATATTTCTCACGTGCGGCGTTGTTGTTTTGCCCAGTAAACGCGTTGTTTCTTATCGGTTCCCGCTGGCTTTGCTAGTCTTAGTTTCCGGTTGGACAAAAAAACGTGATTTTCATTTATCCTCTTACTTTAACAGTGCGCTAGGTGAATTGCTTTCAGTTTTTCTTCTTAAACTGCACCTTACTTTTCATTACTAGAGTGTGCCGCTTCCACCTACAAGGCCGGTGTTCGTCTAACCTACCTAGAAGAGAGTCTTTGTTTTTCTACAACAAGGCATGTATCCGGGGCGTGCCCTTAAAAACTGAATATTAAAGTCAGTCTGAAGGTCTTCGTCAGAGTGACGCAGATTGTATAGCATATATTCATACAAACAATCAGTCAAGCCGAACGTCTGTACAGGTGAATATGTCTACAGAGCTGAACTGGGAAGTGACAAGCCAAATCAACCATGATTTATAAGCGTCAACAAACTGGAATTCATCTCTAAGTTTCTGTGGACATGAGAGAGGTAGGTAGGGGCAATTCTTTTGTATGCTTTAAAAATCAACCAGAAAGGTTAAATCTTAGTCGATACGTATAGCCATAGTTAAAAAATGGAGCAGTGCGTACCATGCATACCACTCAATAGATTTTTTACCCTATTTTTTTCTAAAAAGGTATAACTGCCTAGTGCCATACTTTACTTCAAGAATAATTATTCAAGCGAAAGCCCGTATAATTATGTTCTCGAACATCACTATAATACGTAGATGTAAATACATAACGGCAAATCATGATAAGCCAATGAATTGGATTACTCCCCGGCTCTCTCATTTGCACATATTTCGTCAGTTTGACAAAATGTTCCTTTCCCTCGACTTAAAAAATAAAAGTATCCGAAAAAGAAGTTAACTAAGCCTCCCTCTTCACGTATCCATTCTTTTAGAAAGCGCAAAAAATTCACATCCACACGTATTCAAATCGTTCCTCCCGTCATCGAGTATCCATTTCTGTCGAGTATACATTTCGGTCACATTGATTGCTTTTGAGTGATAATAAAATCCACGTTTTTTCACTCTGCGATCAATGTTTGGTCAATAAAGCTGTCTCCGAGTAGCCAATCAGGTTTATGTAAGAATAATCCAACTCAAATCTTGGAGTGTATTGCTTGTTGTCCTCTGTCGAGTAGTTTAATTATTTGATTATCGAGACCGGCAGTTAAATAAAGCTCCCCTTACTAAGTGGTATTCTGAAACGACAAGCTTCAACATTTTTAACCCTTAAAGAAAACAATCTAAACTGATACGCTTTAGGTCTCAAGAAGGGAAAGGTGGCGATGAAACATTTTTAAATACATTCTGCGCGAGGTCAGACGGCTGTGACGTCATCGTTTTCGCAAACTTGCGTTTTCACCTGTCTACCTGTCTCGTTGCAAAAATTTCTACGCGGTAAAAGAGTTTTGAAGAAGTTACGTTCCTTTTTCGGTGACTGCTTTCATCTGATAACATAAACGAAAAGCTTATCCGAAAAAATCCAAGCCTGTAAAAAGAACTTCTCCATCAAATTTAGGATAACACCATAAGTTGTCTGTGCAGGATAAAACACTGAGGAATTAAATATGGGATCTTATTGATAAAGGGGGTCAGTTATCCACTTCATTAATTAGCTGCATCAGTTGCTTAATCTACATAAGAAATAATCACTGGCCAAGGGTAGTTTTACTACAACACCTTAAATTCAGTTTAAGGTGATTCCTTAGTAAAAGAACGTAACATAGATTGTAGATGAAACTTGGTGCACTGATGTAACAAGTCAAGAAGATGATAAAAAAGTAATAAAAAGTGGGGGTCACCGTGCTCGTTTTGACGTCACAATGCTGACAAATACGGCTATTTAGGATTCTTTGGCAAAAACCACGGGCAGCCCAAAACTAGACAAAAAGGAGAGATTTTTTTCGATGATGCATGTGGTATCGCAAAGAATTTGACTTTAATGTATTGTTTATCCACTTACATACCAGAAAAATGCCTTTTAATGCCCTTGTTTTTACTTTACGCTCCAAAGTAGAATTAAATTGGACACGCGCTATTCGACCCGTGATAGATCAATCCATACAATTTAGTAAAATTGCCAAAAGACTGAACATAGATTTGTGCCAATTCTTTTGTCATCGAAAGGAAGCACTGTCCTTATTTAAATCATGAAATATAAAATGGGGGTCACCGTACTCGTTTTTGCGGTAGAGCAGCAGAAAGTGCGCACCAAATGCATTTTCTCAGATTTTTGAGAGAGGACTGGGGCGAGTTTCGAAATAGAATGTTTGTGAATGGGGGAAGAAAGTATTAAAAACTCCGTTTTTACAGAATTTACATCGAGATATCACATTTAGGACACCATGTGATAATGAAAATCAAAGTGAGTAAGCGCAAGTTAAACATCCACTATCGAGGTTCTCCGTGAGGAAGTCGAACTCAGCAACACGCGTACTGCTTACGTTATGCACATTCCCAACATATTGAGTCCCTCCTCGGCAAGACACAACCGCAAGCAAAAATTCCAGTAGCGTTACTCTTCAGTCAACTTCATTTTAATAATGTTGCATCACATGCTTTTTTTACGGCGGCCATCTTGTTATGCGCAGTAAGAGATACGCAGTGCAAAACCAGGGAATCACCTTAAGGCATTGCTTTTATGAAAATCAGTAATAACATAATTGCCTTATGAAGAGAATTACGATACTTAAAATGGCATCCTTTGAAGATATATAGCGATTGCCAAAGCTTTGATACAGCCCCTTACAAAAATATATATCATGTGACTGAAGGTCATAGCTTCAATTCTTGTCGGGGACTCAGATTTTTTTCTTTGTCCCATGCTCGTGACATGTTGATCACATTATTTCTCAAATATAAGTAATTTTAGTTTCGCATCAACGTTTTTCACTGTACGCCAGGGTTACCCGTAGTTATAGTGGGAAAACTGGACTTCGGGTCGGAAAATTTCAATTGATGCAAGCAACGCAACCCTTTTTTTGGTTATTTTGTTTTTCTTTTGATTTTGCATTTTTTTCCTCATCATTTTTTCACTCTCGTAGATTGGCACTCAAAATGAACAACTCAAGTGCAATGATCAATGGCTATCGATCCAGTTCCTTACTGGTCCTATCAGTTAACATCTCTATGACCTTTGTTGTACTGGGGTTAATCTTGCACCTTTCCACCATTTACGCCTTGTTTCGGCCTACAATGCGCCGCAGAGTTCTGGCCCCAATGATGCTCAACATCTGTATTGTTTCGATAATTCTAACAGCCTGTGGCCATTCCGTCTCAATGGGCATCGACTTCAAAGGGGAAACAAACAATAATACACTGGTATTCCCGTGCAAGTGGACGGCTTTTGTGGGCATCTGGGGCAGCTGTGCTTACTCGTCAACTTTGTGTGGGATGAACGTGCTCTCTGAAATCTTCATGCTTCGATGTAGCGGCGGCCGTCCTCAATCAGTGTCAAGGAGATCTAATATCGCCCTATTATTGCTACTGTGGATATATCCTCTCCTTGTGGGCGCTCTATCGTATTTTGTTGGGGATCTCTATCGCATATCTGCATCCGATCTGACCTGTGATCTAAATTGGCTCTCTGAAAAATACCTTTTCAATACCTTCAGTAGTTTTGCAATATATCTACTGCCAATGTTGCTCTGTCTAACCATGCAATATAACATTTTAAGGTAAAGTATTTCTTACAGTTATGCTTTTTCTACAGGAAGCGCAAGTTCGAAATTAGCACGCTGGGAAAAAAAGTGCCGAAAAATCGGCCACAAATTTGTTCCATTTAAAAAAATATATATGCATGGAATGTTATCACTATCTCTTAGCTATAGAAGATATTGAGTGGAGCCTTTCATTATTGAATTTTCTTACGTTATTGTTTCAAATTCATTTTTTTGGATTAGTACTGTGCACGACCAAAAAGCCTATTTTGTGACGTCATCACTTGTGACGTCACAAGAATTTGCACTGTATTTCTGCAAAGTATCACTGTTTCAGGCTACATACCTTTGAAGGAGAAACTTTTGGGAGTTTTGATTTTTTAATTACCCACTAGAGAACTAAAGAAACGCAGTATTGACGTGCACGACATCAACCACTTCCGGTTTACGTGCGTCTGTTAAAAACGTCCTTGCTTGAGTTCCCTATGCGGACGGTAAAATCACTAAATGGCGTGAAACAAGATTGAAAAGACACTCAACAATACGCACAACACAACACAAAGCGAACCAGCTATGGTTTCCTCAACACCAAGGCGTGAACACCCCAAAATTTGTCCTTAGACTTGTTGGACGGAACACACCCAGTTGAGTTTGCTGAGCAAAACGAATGATGTTCCAAATCAGAAAAAATATATCGGTAATTCATTGATATTAAACTGCACCTATTATTTTCGTTAATGCAGAATCTGGCAAAGATCTCAGAGTACAAGAAACATTGCTATCAGACGCAAACTTCTGTATCGAAGAAAAATCAACTACATGGTTATTGGCTTGACTGTCTATTTCTTTGCCAGCCATTTACCAAATCACGTGACAAATGTTGCTGCTATGGTGATGAGATATTACCCCCATTCAACCATTACTGCTTTTGCATTGGAACTGCTAGCCGAATCAAATGTGCTTTGTCCTCCACTCGCTTACTTAATTCTAAATTCAAGGTTCAGATCGACTGTAAAGATCATGCTCAGTGGTAGTGCCAGACGGAGAAATCACAATAGAAACGAGAGGATCCTCCAGCCAAGAGAGATCAGAGCCCGTAATCAAATGCAGGGAGGGGGAAATAAAAGGAGAATAGCCCCCAATATAGTGGTACCGCTGCAACAACCGGAGGTTCCGAACCGAGCCCCTACATCAACTGTAAGTACGCAGTCTCAGGTGCGGGACACGGGTACATGGACTCTTCCAACTACACAAGCGAATTAACGTAGAACACGTGACATTCTGGATTGGCAGACGATATTAATGTTTAGGGTAGCGTTAAGGGTACTTTTGGTTTCTCCAGAGGCATATAGCCCTGATTCAGGGTTTTATGCTTCTGGTTTCGCTGAAGAGACTAAAGTTTGGAGTTTAGTGTACAAACAAGCAAGATTTAGGACCCAGAAGTGGTGCAAGTCATTTACAATCTTTTACTTTTCCTTCTCATACATATGCTTGCCAACATCTCACTGAACTAACCATGGCTTCTGCTTTCCTGCTTGTACGCGAGTCGCTTATAAGACTAAAGGGTCGCGTCTACCTACTCCTCAGGTGCTTCGTTGTCGCACTTTGGTCGAAACCAAAGGCGAGCTCGAAACACGAGTGACTGGTGACGAAGCGCTAGGGACCACGGGAAGGAGAAAAAGAGAAATGTTTTCTCCTTTCCGCCTTCCTTTAGGCGCAACTTTACACCGAGAGAGAGACGGCTGGGTACGAGGTTGGGCCATATATGCTGCTTTCTTCTTGGGATGATTGCTATGAAAATGAAGCATGGTTCGGGAAACACAGCATACAGAAAATAGAAACTGTTTGATTCCTCACAGGCGGAAGTCCAGAATGGCTATTCATACGATATCGAGACCAGTTAAGTTTAAGGCACTCATGTCCAATTAAAAATTCTGAGAGTGGGAGGGGGTTGATGTGCACACAGTAAACTGCCCTTAGAGTCTCTTCTTCATCAAGAAAATGACCGGACAAGATGAGAGGTTTGCGATAATTTATGTAAGCTAATATTCAAATTCTAGTTCAAAGTAGGAAGGATCAAACACATGCACACGAACATAACCATCCTCGCCACCGCTGCTGTAACTGCAACAAAGCAAAAAAACAAAAACAAGCAGTGAGTACATGAAAGTAACGACCTTATTGTGCCTCTGTTACACACCCGAAAAACAAACACGCTCACGGCTAAGGCATTAATCTTTGATCAGCCAATCGCTGGTACCCTTACTGTCGATATGCGCAGTCAGTAAATTACAAAAATATGAGCGCTCAATTCAATGGCCGGACATTCATGAAACAAACTGACGGTAGGATGAAAGCGAACCCGGTACACACGGGTGATTAATTCATTTGCACCCTTCCAGTTTTCGTTCACAATAAATCTCCAGGATCATGTCTAAACACGATTGGGCGTGGTTAGGAGAAATCAAAGATGAGAATTTTGCCGTTCCCATTTATTTATCTACAATTGTATCTACTAAGGCCACCAAACTGACACTGGGTTCTCACTACTGTCAACCCATGTCTGTTAATTCTTCCCACGGGAAAAGTATTTTTTGAATAGGTTCTGAGTCATTACTTCAATCCAACAATACGTCTCCCGAATTATTCAGTTAACTGCGCTTGATTCATGATCAAGGAAACTTGCTAGATAAGGCTATAATAAAGTGTCCGTAAGGAGGAATTATTAAAACTTGATTTATAAATTATACCTATGCTTTAGACACTTTCCTTGCAACATTATTTGTATGCGATTTCCATATTAAATATTCATCCAAAATTACACCAAGAAAAGTAGCTTCCTTAACACGATCAATCGAATAATTACTAATATTAAATAAAAAGCTACATCAAGTGTTTGCCTGTTTTGTCTTGGTCTGAATATGATAACTTCTAAATCAATTCTAAATTTACAACTTCCACGAGACAGGAAGCATCAATATGCGAATAGAAGATATATATTAGTGTCATCAGCAAATAATATCAGCTCTAAGACTTTTTGACACATTACATAGTTTTTTCTCAAATACGAGATGGCTTCGTTTCTACCCATCTTAAAGAGTTTAGAGCTAGCCTGCATAGCTGAGGGGATTCTTGTGCCCGGGGAACTTTTTTGGCGGCAGAGCCACCAAAACAATACAGCACTCCCATGTTACTCCCGCCAGCTACGCAGGCTAGTTTATAGCACAAGTCTGGAATTCACTGACACTAACCTTGACCATAGTAAAAAAAAGTGCTATGGTCATGACGCCCGCCCATCTGACTCCATTGTTAAATGTTTTTGAGGACTTGAAGTCTTGAAGGTTCAATAGCATTCTTTTGATTCATTTTAGTTACCGATGACAACGTCACATTAACTTATGCCGTCACAATTTGTGAGCAAAAAACTAAGGATTGTACACGCCGTTAGGGAGCTTCCAACATAAACTGCAGCACTGTTGTTTTTTGTCTTTGATGTTTGCCGCCTTTCATAACCCGTCTCCTTTGGGTGGGCTGGAAGCTCTAAGAACGGCTCATAGAACTGGTTTAGAAAACAATAGATAGCCCTACCCCAAACAACAGTAACAATGAACCCTAACCCTGAAACAATAGAGCTTTGGGCCAACAAGAACCTTTCAAATTAGAGGTTCTAAAGAGGTTCTGGCCAACAGTCTCCTTTACTAATTTTGCTTTGACGGGATATTCAACTACTACTAGAGCTTTGTGGCACTGTCCCCTTTTAACGTCTCTCTACAGTTTCAAATAATGATACCTTTACTTCCCTAGATAGAGCATCAAGGCTTTTCATTGTTTTTGTCTCTAAACGAAAACTTTAATGTTACTTTGAAATCACCAATACGAACTACAGGCTATAGGCTACAGGCTAAGTCCTATTATATAAAGCTATTTCAGGGTTACCTTTTCCCATCGGGATGAAAAGCAGTGCTATTAATTGGACCAAAATGCCCCTTCACTCGCCCAATTTCCTCTTCAAACACCGTGTGGAAGAATCGAGCATCAAATTTCCCAATTCTTGCTGACGTAGTTGTCACATCCATGGCCTCTTGGCCACCTCCTAACACAACCTATCAGAACAAGCAAGATTTATTTCAAAACCCATTTTGTCTTGAAAACTGAAGAACCCTCATTTCTCTATAAAGCGTAATAATAATTTAGCACAGAATCGACAAGGCAACTTTGTTTAATACCCACCTAGGTAACATGGGAGCTAACATGTCAGGTTTTAAGAGTCAATTTGGAAAGGGAAGGAGAGAGGGGTTAGCGTACAATGCTCCAACAATGATAGGAACAGCCATACAGCATGCAGAATAGGGTTGCGTGTACAATGTACATGCATCTGATTATTACTGTCTGATCAATTTTGTACATCGGGATAGAATACACAGTTGTAATAAAAAGTTTATAGCTCTTTTTTGCCTCTAATTACCATTTTTTCCAGAGTTTATCACTATTTTCCAGACTTATTCCAGGTCTGGAAAATAATATTACTGGGCAGATTTAAAGACTTTTTCAAACCCTGAACATGGTTGGCAGGGAAAGGGAGGGAGGGAGGGAGGGAGGGAGGGAGGAGAGGGGCAAAGTGGACTTCCATTTGAATGTGATCTTGCTCTTCATTGGAAAATTAGAATTAAACCCCTGAAGGAGACCATGGGTGTGGCTCGGGCCTTATTTGACCCCTAATGGACACTGCACTAAAACAGACAACCAAATCAAAGCTATAGCGACATTTAATGAGCTAAAGATATTGACACTGAATGCTGCATTCAACACAGTGTGGCTGTGTGGTGGTTGTTTCATTAGATAACTCATCACAAACAACCCTCAATGATAACTACAGTCTCAGACAAAAATAGCGGGGACACTTCCAATCGATGCTGTTTTTTACTTCGGGCCCGTCTCCTCGTCCTCCCAATGTTGTTTATCGCAGTCAAGTGACCAAATCTTGCACACCAACATTGGGAGGGTGAGAAGACAGCAAAGTGTGCCAACAATTTTGACTGAGACTGTAGATGGGTTAAAAATGTTGGCTTGCCATCCAGAACACCCTAAGGGAGCAAAAACTCTGCAAGCACTGCCAGGATGTTCAGAGGCAAACCAGCTACAGTCAACTCTCTCATAGCGACCACTTCTCATAAGCAACCATTTCCTAACTACTTTGTTGTGCACCAAGGGTGGTCACTTACGAGACAGTTGACAGTACACTGTACAGCACACATTGCAAACATCGAGTTAATATAATTCTAATGGCACATTGGTTTTGAATTGGAAATTACAGTGCACAGTTTAACAATTAATAATTATTATACTTACATGTTCTCTGATGGGAGAGAGCGAGGCTGAATTAACAGGTCTTTCTGTTTTGTAAGTATTCATAAGTCGCAGGGAATCTGTGTCAAAAAGCTTAAAAAGTAGAGAAAGAGTACAAGTGTCAGCACTGCTATTTTCACGAATCTGCTCCTTGCAAGGTTGAGAAACAAAGGGAACTAATACTGGTGGGGAGTGCCAGGTCTACTTGTAGCGTTGTTACTGTTGGCAAGAATAATGACAGAACAATAAGTCGGCCAAGCAATTTGGTACAACCAGATGATTTCACAGGGACTGTGTTGCACTTTCCCGTCATCAAGTCATGAAACACCCAGGCAAAAACATGCCAAAAATTAATAATTTTATGACACACTATTATAAAAGGACTCCCTTTCATGCAATGAAAAAGACATTTCTATCCAGCACTACCCAGAGCTGGGTAGTGGCAAGTCATCAGTATGGAATTTTTACAGTCATTGATCAGACGACTTTATGCAAGGAACAAGCTTTTCTTGTGTTCTCCCAACATCCCGCATGGGTTATCATGCCAGTAAACTCATAGAAAGTGTGGTCTATTGCTTAAGTAAATCATTGGGGAATTTGGCATAAGACCTACAGTGTACAGCTTTAGAATTACTAAATGCCCTACCCAAAACCTAATGAAAGGGTTCGTACAGATTTTTGCATCCAAAATTCAAGACTTTTTCCAGACTTTTTCCAAAACAATACTATTATTAATTTTTTCAAGACTCAAGGTTGACAAATATAGGTACATGTAACTTATTGTAGGTTTGAAAAAAAAAAAATCCAGACCTTTACTATTCTTCCAGACTTTTTCCAGGTCTGGAAAATTGCTGGGCAAACTCTAGACTTTTTCAAGAATTCAAGACTACGTACGAACCCTGTAAAACAAATGAGCAAATCAAAGGGAGAGGCTAGGGGGCTCATCTCCTGATGGTTAGCCAAAATCAAGAGCTGAAGGTGCTTCATTTTGGCCAGAGTGTAGCTCCCTTTCACGAGGAACTTTCACCGCTACAAAATATCAGAACAAAGTGAACCTCTGTGGCTGCTACTGTACTGACCTTAGCTGTATGATCTTTTGAAGCAGTTACAAACATTGTTTGATCTTTGTACATCTGAATATCATTAATCTGTTTAGAGTGCTCATGCACAGTCAACAGCTTATTTCCTGTCTGGGGAATGAAAAAATACACAAGTAAGGGAGCTTATACTCATGTAAGAGGCAGTTAACAGTATTGCTCAAGCAAGTTTATGCCAACATTCAACCTCTACATCAATCATAGTAAATAACTGTTCATAAAAAAATATTTATTGCAAGCAAACAAAAGTGAGCCCACAGACTATTCTCGGTCAGCAGTACTTTATAAACTGAAAAGTGAGGTTTCCAAAATCTGTCCACATTCTTGGGATGCCCATGTTGTACCAACTAATATACAAGGCATGTGGCCGAGAAGGCCCTGGTATTCAGTTTAAGGTCTGTCTGATGTCACGGTAATCACGTGAATGCACATGCAAGTGATGCAATCATTGTTCGATTTGCAAGCACACATAAATATCCAAGTACAGACAGGTAAGTCTTTTGGATTCGCCTTGCCCACCAGAAATCTATTTACCCAGGAAAATGAAACTAGAGCCTGATCTCAGCTTACATTAGTGCCACATGAGTCTTTGGTAAGATAAAGACTGTGTTAGTGTTACAGGTACATTTAGAAGAGTGAAAATGACCAGTAACTTTTAGTTTATTGGCTCAGTTATGCTGTAAAATGATATGCTTGACTACAGGTCGAGCGTGGTTCTATAATCAAAGCTGATCATATGTAAATTTCCTCTAAGTTGGCGGCCAATCTTTGAAAAGCTTTGAAGAGTGAAATTTTCTTAGGATAGAAATTTCTCACGATTGAGTTGTAATTGAAGGATATTGAACTAGGACTAAAAAGTCCCATGGAAAGCTTTCCTTCCATTAATCTGCAATCGATAGCTGGTTGAGGATATGCTTGTTTGAGTCAAAGACCGCATAGTTTTAAGTGACACGACCAGGCTTTCCACGGTGTACGCAAAATGACTCTGATCTATTTGGTACCAGATTGTAAGTGTGTCATGGTTATATACATTCTAAGATGAACGTAACTCCCTGCTTAGCTATGACTACAAGACCGGTTTTGCATCCAAAATATTGGATCCTTCGTCAGTTGCTTAGGTACAGCTGTTAACGGTCACCAAGAGAGGTAGAGCCGTAATCTAAACTTGAGTCTGTTCTTTTCATATAGCATCCAGAATACAGCTAGTGATTGGTTTTTAAAAACAAGAAGCTGACTGATGATTTATCTGGCCTGTGTTACAAAGTAATTTTCAAGGACTTATAATAACTCCTCCAGTGGGGTTAATTTAACTTCTTATGGTGGAGATATTTTTTTTCAGAGTTATTTTAACTCCAAAAGGGAGTTTAAAGAACTCTTTTTCAGGAGTAAGAACAACCCCAGATTTGGACTTAATATTGAGGAGTTAAAGTAACCCCAAAAAAGGGGTTATCCTGTACATAAAATTTTTACTCCTCTTTTGGAGTTATAATAACTCCCTAAAAATTACCGTGTATAAGAGGACAACTTGATCCTGTTTTCAGTTTAAAAGATGAACATAAAAGCGAGCAAGACTTAAAAATAAATTATAACATGTCAGATAGTGGAATGCAGTTTCAAAGGGCTATGCACAATATTATTCAATAGTCATGAGAACTATAAAACAACTTAAGCTACATACAACACATGTAGGTGCACTAGAAAAGTATACAAAAAGTAAAATAATAACGTAACTATTATTTTTGCTAATATTAGAACATCAAAGTGAACACACTACTTGCTCTATGATAAATCTCACTCTAAAACACATAAAACTATAATAATTCATATTCCATTTTAAATTTTGTTACAAATTTTGGCTTTACCAGCTAAAAAATAGGAAAAATAGGAGGTTTTAGTTTAAAATAGGAGAAAATAGGAATAGGCTCAAAAAATAGGAAAAAATAGGAACTGGACACCGTGTAACATTGTACATGTAGCTGCCAAAGTCTAGAAATCCATGTAAACTAAATTTACTCAAGTTACACCACGTATACAGTGTGCCTTGGTTTTTATATTTTTATACAGTACATTTCCAAGCTTGTTAATTCACTTGTCATCTGAAACCTTCAATAAGCGTTAAACTCCAGTAGCAAACTAAGCTTTTGTTACAAAATGTTTTCTATTGCATCCCAATGGCCTTTGGTCAATCAACTCGGATTGATGCAGTCATGACTCTATACATTTGAGGTTGAATGTTGTTTAACAACAATATGTCATGCATTACTGTTTTTATTGTTTATTTTCCTGAGAATATGGCCCTCTCCTTGCTCCTCACAATTCGCAAGCTTATTATATCCAAGCAATTGTGAATAAAATCATCGAATTATTAATATGAGTCTTATTTACTGTGTTGTTCAATTCAGTTTCCACATTCATGATCTGACGTGATTCCTTTTTTTTCACACTGGAACTAAAAGGGATTTCTCAGATTCATGTGCGCTATCATGAAAGTGGTTCTCATAAATCACATCAGTAACCATCAGTTATTGCTATTTGTGCAACTTTTTGGTATTTTACAATGAGTACAGTGAGTCTCTAACTAATACACTGTAATCAGTGATAGAGTGTAGAGATAGCACTCCATTTTAGTCATAGTTTTTGTAGCATTGTTACCTTCGTATCCCACTGACAAAGATCTCCATTTTCATGTCCTGTGATTATATACTGGTCTAGTGGTCCCCAGAGAGCAGCAGATACTTTTGGTCCCTCAATTGGAATATTCAGATAAGGCTCTTTTGAT